GTGGGACGATGCGTGCACATACAAACGACAGGTGGACCCATAACACGCGACCGTGTGCACGAATGCCCCCCCCCCCTGCTGCACAGCCCATGCGGACAGGTATAAAAATGCAAATCTACTCCAACTTCTGCAGCGGTCACTATTCCCTAACCCAGACGCAATGTCAGGTATGGCCGTAGCTTGCACAGCATGCGCCCTTACTTTCATTTAGACGATAAACCTGCTGAAGTCGATTTAGCAACCACGCCAACTGAGGCAACGCCCGAGCCGCATGAAGGCGACACCAAGGAGGCCTTGGATACGAAGCCCTTAGCAAAGGCTCTGGACGAAGTTGAATGTCAACAGGGAAAAGAGGATTTTCCAGAAGAGCACGAGGCGGCAAAAGTGGCTGAGGATGCGTCCCCCAAAGAAGGTGAGAAACCCCAGGGAGACAAAAAGGAGGATTCTGGTGCAGATGTGAATAGTGAGACGGTGGAAAAAGAACAGGGGACGAAGGAAGAAAAGAAGGAAGAGCAGGAAGATAAAAGCGAAGCAAAGCCCGAAGAAGCCTGAAGATGTTATGGGAGACTGCCGTAAATAAATTATTAGAAATGGATGCAGCTTAGAAATGCATACTGTGACTATATATTTATATATAGACATATATTTTGCAGTATTTAGCAGAAATCTGCTGCCTTGCATTTCTTTGTTTGAAAAAATTTTTGAAAGGAAAAGAACACTGGCGTATTTTTCGTAGACGCGAACCAGTTTCTACAATTCTGTAACTCGTCTGCAAAGGATAAAATAATTCAACAAAGAGGATATGTTCCATATAATTTGTCCAGATTTTTATCACCAGCATTAAATCCACTAGGTCCCAGACCGTTACACTTAAAATGCAAAAACGTTGTCTACAGAGAATATCCACAATGCTCTCTGTCTGACACAAATTTTAAAAAAAATGATTTTTGGAAGTGCATGCATTAGACTATATGTACAACATACTCAGCAACAATAAAGTGTGGCCTAATTATCAGATCCAAGACGCAGATCATTCAAAAGGTAGGAGAATTACAATACCACCATACTAGAAGTCCGTTTGAGGACTGGGTTCGAGGATAGGGACCCAAGATCGGAGGTGGATTCGTCCTAATGTTAAGCTTAGAGCAATAAAAGCTAGGGTAAAGGTGAATGTTATGTATTACATGGATATTTTTCGTGTCCGAGTTGGCATTAGGGCTAAGAAAGTCGGGATCCAGGTTAGTATTAGGGGTAAAATGGCAACGGGGTATAAGGAAACCCCGAAGATTTATTGCGAAGCCGCCTATTCTATGAGTGGGTTCATATTCTTGTGTCTGATATGTTTGGCTATATAATTGACAGTTTTGGCTCATGCAAACTCGCGATAGTTAACACTTATGGGGTAACCCAGTGGAAACCGACCTGATCATGGAAACGGACGGGGCGAGTGAGTTCCGCTAGTAATCACTATGTGTTCATCAAAGGACATAAATATTCCCGACCTAAACCAACAAGCGAATAAGTCCGTGACTTTGTGGTTAGAGCGTTAGGTCCCGGGCTCGAGTCTCGGGTGGTGTACAACCTCAGGTTGGGTATGACTGGCTGACGAGGGTCAATAAGCCAGAAATGGCCACTCCCCTCTCCCTTATCTTTGCCGACAATACTGTCATCCTGCACCGCTGGCCACTGTGTATCTGCTGGTGGGAATCGAGAGTGAACTCAGAAGCAGGACGGGACGAGTGGGTCCTGTGACCGATCGGCCAAAGTCTATCAACGAATGGAAACTATAATTGTTTGGGCGACGATTGCATATATGACCCGACTCAGAAAACGGGGACATAGAGTAAAATGGTATATTGGTGTCATATGCTTTTGTGGATAAGACGCAAAAACGCGAGCGCATAATTCAAAATACTGAAACAAAGAGTTGCAAATGGGTGGAAACAGGAAAACCCGGTCATTTTTAGAGCTTCTATGTGAACTGATTCTAGGCCGCCTTG